ATAGCATGTTTTTGGGTATTCATGAGATCTCTGTTTGAAAAAAATGTTTTTAACTTGTAGAAATGTGTTGCAACACACAGATGGGAAGAAAAAGAAAAAAAAAATCTCTTTAGCAAGCACTGTGTGTAAAAGGAATATTACATTTTGCACGCTCCTGATTACCCTGTGTAAACAGTTTTTGACATCTGTCTTTATAGTTTTCGAGGAGAGGAAGACTTTGTTAAAAGAACCATTTTTATACAGCAGTCACCATTTCAGTCTTGCTTTACCTGTATTATGAAAGCAGATGGTCTGCATGTCTTTTGAATATTTATAACTATCAAAAACAATCTCTTGCTATTCACCCTTAGGCTTATGAGATGTCAGGACTGTTCTGGTTGAAAAAAAATCATCTTGGGTGTTTACAGAAAGAGGATTACATTAAGCTGAAATGACTATACATTTTCCAGTTTAATATTTGTCCATCAGCTGTTTAATCGTATTTAGATAATTGTGTACATAAGTTGTTGCAGCCCTTGCCCCTTCCACTGAGCAGGCTTGAAGCTTTAAACACTGATGAATGAGTTGCAAAAAAGCTTGGATTTTTTTTTTCCTAGTTAAACAACCTGGAAGGCCTAAATAAGTTTTGGTTACTATGCTCCTTTTGAGGGAAACATTTCATTTGCAAAGGAATTCCCAATATCTAATTCAGCTGAGTTGTTTTAGGAAGCTGTTCTGTCTGTTACTCTCTGCTAAGTCTGTTAGCATGTATTTGTTCTGTGTAAATACTGCAGCCCAACTACCCCTTCATGAGGCATGAAAACAACCTCATTCTGCCCATATAAAAATAATTTTAAGGTTATTTAGGGGAAGTTTTGGGACTGTGGGGGTTAAAAGCTTTTTGACTGGAAGCTGAGCAATCACTGATAACAGCTTTTGCTGTGGTTGGTTGATTTGGCAGAAAAGCATGAACAGTTTTGGTTTAGATGATTGAATTAACCTGATTAACATTGTTTTTGTTGTTTTGCAAAAAGGACAACAGTATACTTTTAGCGACAGTCGAACAATACTTCACCTGGTTGGAGAGCAGTGTTAGAGGCAATGAGTCAGAAATGCCTCCCTTGTAGCACCTGCAGCGGTGGCTGCAGCGACCAGCCGGCACGAAAGGCTTGGGTCCTTCCCGTGTCTTGCAGGAAGCACCTTGCATTAGATTCTGGCACAATACAAAAGGTGCCTGACGCTACCGTTTTATCAGGTTTTATTTGATAGGCATATGAAAAGAGTCCTGGTTGAGATTTAAGGCATTTCCCCAGGGAGTTCCCCAACTTCTTTGAGAAATGATGGTGTCTGGTTTTCAAATCTCTGGTATCTAATCTTCCTGAGAGAATGGGATTTGGTTCAAACTGCGCTGGGTGAACCTCAGCTGAACTTCAGAACGAATTCTACCCCTACCTCCACACAGTTGTTGGATGCCTAATTATAATTAACTTATTTGGCTAAAAAAAGAGCACTTGGGCTGCAGCAGATGGTATCATTCCAGAATAGTGGGATTTCTGTGAAGGTGGCACCATTTCAGATGAGATTCCTAGAACAGGGCTGCAAGTGATGTGGTTGGGGGCGGGGAGGGATGGAGAGAGGGGAAAGAGGGAAATTTGGGATCTTGATGTCTCGCAACTTACTTTCAAGGATAAACTTCTAGGAGATATGTTAAGACTGCGGATCTGCAACCAGTTTTTGTGTTCTATCAGGTTTTTTTGCGACATGTGAAAAAGAAATCAGATTATGAGTGACGAATGTGATGCATTTGAATATTTGTATGATATATTTATATTCGTCATCCTTGTACATGGAAAGCATCTGCCTCTGTGCCTCACAGATAAGGAATGCCTATGTACAGTAGTACCTGAATATGATGTGTTTCAAATAAAATCGTTTTCATTTTGATTATTGATAAGTATAAGCCAAGACATGGGGAGCTCCTTACGTGTAATGACCTGGGAGATAAGAAGAATTTCAATATTCCTCCAGTCTGGATCGTGGATCTCTGAAGACCACTAACTCATAGGGTTAATCTTCAGTTTTAGGCCCTAAGCATAGTGGGCATTCATATATGTAGATTGCCATTAAAACATACAGGAATTCTACAGCAATAGGAATTATATAGCAATTTCTATAGCAAAGTGCATCTCTCTGTACTGACGTGACTGCAGGTTTGATGACAACATAATAAATAAAGCATAGAAACAATGAAATTCAATGTTGTCAAGTTATTTTCTGAGTTAACAAGGTAGTAATATTTTATCTGGCTTGTAAAATTTTGCCTTCAGTGAATTAGTAAATAAATCATTGATTCCTCCTGATGAGGATTCTTAGCGTAGGTAATATCACTTGAATGCTTGCATGAAGTGTTCTCGAAGAAAAAGCAGGATAATTTTCATTTTAAAATGTGTTGATAATGTCTGAGGGGTTTTTTTTTTATCTACTTTGAAGAGCTGGAGTAAAATCCCAATATTAGCCATCAGAGCCTGAAATTCACATTGTGTCAAAGAAGCTAAAATTCCTAGCAGTGTTACTTAAACAGACCAGTCCCCTATTTGGTTGTAAAATAAAGTAACTGCATTAAATTTATTCCTGAAGAAGCAGGGGATGTCACAACCTGCCATTTTATTGGTGTATCTTCTTTGTAAAATGACATGGAAGGGAGGAGTAGGAAATCCTAGACAAATATCTCCATCAACAATAGGTAATTTACTAAAATTATTATTAATATACATGTTTTCATACTTACTGAAGTTATTTGGGCTGGAGAAGACATCTGAAAGGGGCAAAGTAAAATGAAGCAGGGGATGTCACAACCTGCCATTTTATTGGTGTATCTTCTTTGTAAAATGACATGGAAGGGAGGAGTAGGAAATCCTAGACAAATATCTCCATCAACAATAGGTAATTTACTAAAATTATTATTAATATACATGTTTTCATACTTACTGAAGTTATTTGGGCTGGAGAAGACATCTGAAAGGGGCAAAGTAAAATGAGAAAACCACCTTGAAGTTTAAATGACATCCACAAAATATGCACAAGCTAATACGGGATGGGCCCATTACATATACATGTTTTCATACTTACTGAAGTTATTTGGGCTGGAGAAGACATCTGAAAGGGGCAAAGTAAAATGAGGGAAAACCACCTTGAAGTTTAAATGACATCCACAAAATATGCACAAGCTAATACGGGATGGTGGCCCATTACATGTGCAGTTCCCCATTTTGCACACGCCCGTCTGCAGGTTTTGCACGTACAGTAACTGTGCATTCATATAATTTACCAGTTCAGATTCAAAGGACTTTTTAAATCACGCCTTATGTATCATGTGCCCTTGTTTAAAATGGTTTAATCTGTAAAAGAGCTCAAACAATAATTTTGTAAGTATTAGACATTAATGATACTGCTATTATATTGGAAATTGAAATTGGGTTCAGCTGAGCTTGCTTCAGGTCATTCGGGCTAAAGTTGCAGTAGTCTATTAAGATTTCATTCTCCTTTTATACCACTGACAAAAGGCTTCTAGCTAATTTCAGAAATGCCAGATTAATATCAAGGAATGGTAAGAATTTTGGTGATTCAGAGAAACATTAAAATAGCTGCCTGGTGAGTAGAGGGTATCCACATTTGGCATAAATAATACTGCCTCACGCTAGCAGTTCTGAGCCTCCACAAATAGCATGTTACTGAGTAATATGTTAGAAAATGGTTATAATAAACGTCACTAAGATCAATAATCAAGGTACTTTTACTCAGAAGCTGAACTAGCCTTGTAAAAGAAGACTTATAGTAATATTTATTGCATTTTTACTCCAAACTCTTTCTTCTAGTGGTTATTGCAGTTTGTGTAACAAAGGGTTGACGCTATACATCGATTTTACGACAGCACAGATATAGCTAAATGTTACATGCTGAATAGCGAAGAAACATAATAATCAGGGCTTTGTCTTCTTGACTGTCATTGTTTTCTCAATACACTGGACAATTCCTGTAGTTAAGCTAAAAGTCACTACTTTCCACGTAGAAATCTAAACGGTGGCAAAGTTCAGTCTATTGAAATTATATTTGCTAATTTGGTTGTTCATACATCATATACTGAGTATAATTTTCAAGTTGGAGCATTTTGCAAGGCTTAGTCTTAATTGATTTTGTAAAAGAATGTACTGGAACTGAAAGTTTCATGCATTGTAAATTCCACTATTTTAAAATTGGTCAAAACTGAGCAGAAGGTAAATTTCTCACTGTAGCTATCTGATATCTCGAGAACCTTTGAGAAAAAATCATTTCTATCATCCTTTGGTCTATTTTACAGCTAATATTCAGTTACAGAATTAGACAGGACAATAAGAGCTTTTCATAAGCCTGTTTCTGCAAATCACTTAAAATACCCTGTTTAGGAAAAGCAAGTCTGGGTTCATTTTGGGTTGTTACATACATATTTTATTCTACTATAAACCCCCTTATTTTATCCTACTAATAGGTCATTCAGATAAACTTTCATGCTACGATTTTCTGGGGTCTGCCCTGTGATAAGTGGCACAAAGGGAATGGGCATAGGTAACTTGGGGCATTGCTTGCATTTTTGGAGTCAGTGTAGGATTTGTACGCCTGTAAACTTGTGTGGGTACGTGAAGGGTCAATCAAATTTAAAAGCAGAAATAGTACAAACAAAACGCACTTTCAAGATTAGCATCTTCCGTCCAGAGCCCATCCCATTGCCTGATGTTTCTTGGTCGATAACTTTGTTCTTCCCTTAGTACATCTGCTTTTTTTGCTGCCATTTACAATATACCTTGGTTTGGTTTTATGCTCATTTAATGAGTTTTTTAAAAGGCTTTGGACGATAGGATTAAAAATGCAATATGGTTCTCAAACTCTAAAAATATAATGGTTTCAACAATTCGAATAATTTGTGCTTTGACTTGTACTGCTCTGTATTACAGATTTTTTTTTTTCCTTCTCCCCTTTTCACACAGAGTATGATTTCTTCCATTGTGAACAGCACTTACTATGCAAATGTCTCAGCAGCAAAATGTCAGGAATTTGGAAGGTGGTATAAACATTTCAAGAAGGCAAAAGATATGATGGGTAAGCAAAAAAAAAAAAAAAATTTGCTGTGATGGTGGATACATACCATTATGTGTCACGTTGAGGTCTGTCACAGTCATATAAGAAGCCAGGTTCCTTCACGATAAGTTTAGGACGCTTTTGATGAGTAGATGTAGAAAGTACATATATAGTGAAAGAATTCATTTAAATAAATATTTGCTATTGAAACAGCCAAACTGACTTGGGTTGCCAGAGATGTAAAGCTGTCATTTTGTAAATCCAGAGATCTTCTACCGCCCAGAATAATTGTTTAAAAAACCTGTTCCTGGAACTGTGACGGGCTGATTTTTTTAATGTGTGTATTTTTTTCTTGCTCTGGCTAATGTATATTTAAAGAAACAGGCTTCTATAACTATCACTGCCTTCCAACAAGAATGCTATAATTTTATGAATTCATATCTTTCTCTAACTTTGGGACCCTGATTTCAATTCATTTTAATAAATAGTTGTTGTGACAATTGTTTGCTTTTTGTAGTAAGCACAAGTAAATTATTGGAGAAAAAAAAAATCCATCAGTGGGACGTATTAATTCTGTAATACCTTTTATCTTTCTGTACTGTCCCTTTTAAAAACTAGTTCTTAAACCTGTTAACATAATTTTGAACACTTTATGTCAGAAAATTTCTACGTAGTTTTCAACAGAATGAAGAAATAGGACCTCAATTTGGATTGAATTTTGAGCTTGACTTAGCTTTCAGTATTTGAAGCAAAATCATTCATCTACCAAAACGGGTTCCTTGCCTTTTATAGCTTAAGGCTGTAATGAAGACAATGCATCACTTTTGTGATAATTGCTTGAATTACTATTCCAAGTGAATGGCCCACTTGGGTTGATCTCTACTTTCCGCTAGTGAAAAAAGGCAGCTTCTTTCCTTTATCTACTTTGTACCTTCTGTGCCACACTGAACCCTTCTTCTGAGACCACCGAAGTGAAGTAAGACTTCACTTGGTTTCAGGTGGTCCGTGTGCGAGGCAGCAGAGCACCTGCATGGGCGGGTGACCTTTCCGCAGCATCCTCTCCCACCTCCATTGCTGCAGCGCTCCTGCATGGGGAAACCCTTGCAAAATTTGCCTTACACGATCTGCCAAGACAGGTTCACCATCCATTCCTTCGGGGACAATGAAACCAGTGCATAGGAAACGTGCGCGCGCACGTGTGTGTGTGTGTGTATTCCTGTGTAACCCAATGCTGGGGGGAGAGGCCATGCTTCCCCCAAAGCCACACAGATGAGGAGCAGCGGGTGCTCCGCTGAGGGACTGATCCAGGCTATGGGCACCAGACCTCTCTGCAGAACAACCCGCTTGCTTTTTTTTTTTTTTTTTTTTTTAAATTTCTGCCCATGATAGGACAGAGGGGGAAGGGAGGGCTGTGGGTGGGAATCCAGGTGCCGATTTCTTCTTCCAGCTCTCATCTCTGTGGAGAAAAGGGTGGTCTTGCACTGAATGACTGTTAGTGAAGATCATAATTACTATGAAAAGCTCAGACACTGCCCTTTTTAAAAAAATATGCTTTACTAGTATAAGAAAAAAATTGTTACAACACTTTTGTGAAGATACTGGAGGCTTGGGTTTTAAATAAAGCATATTTTCTTAAAGCTATTTCCAGACCAGCATTGCTAAAGCTCTAGAACTGAGATTGTTTAAAATGAAAAAGTGACATGCATTGATAAGAAGGAGACTCCTTTACATCAGCCTACAGTTATTTTATATTGTCTTTTCATGCACAAGAGGGGAGCTGGAAGAACTCTTGTAGTTTAAAAAACTGTGTTGTTAATTAAAAAGGAGGGTGTGTCAAGGCAGATGAGTTAATATAAGAAAAAAAATCAACCATGTTGCAAGTCACTGAAAAAAACCATGCATACATGGTTGCAAGATAAAGCAGCCCATCTGTGTAATTTACATAAATTATACTAGTTCCTAGCAGTCCCATACAATTGATGCAGCATCTAGAAATTAGCAGAGCATGGGGAGGTCCACACCCCACCCTGCTTGTTACAGATTTCCAGTGCCTGGGAACTGCGGATGTCATGGCGGGGACACCACGGGAGGAACAAAACCAGTCACCAGGGGCTTCTCTCTCTGGTCGGGGTGTGCTTTCCCTTAACAGCCCTCCTTACCCTTTGCGCAGATGCACTTAACCGTTTCACCCGCATCTTCTGCAGCGCACAGAGTGGTTTCCCATCTCTCGTCTTTGCCCCCTCTCTAGTTGCTTGCTGCCTTGTCTGAAGTCCCCTGCATCCACCGCTGTGGGGGTGCGCTCTGCAGCCGCACGATCGCGGTTCGGTTGCGTTGCGCCTTTGCAAAACTCTCAGGAAGTTACTCCTTTGCCATACCTGGATTCCAGCACGTGTTTTTGCCTCTGATGTTCTGCTGGTTCCTCCAAGGGCCCAGTGATGATGATGGGCAGTTTGTTGGATTTTTTAAAAAAAAAAATATTAACTGCACCATTATTTGTAGGTAAATTTTGAAGGCAAATAGCCACAACAGTGATGTTATGGGCCTGCTGAGCTAGGCTGGGGAGCGCAGTAAGCTTGAATGTAAATGTGCCATTTTACATTTATTTTTATTAGCACATCTTGCGGGGAGCGTGAAGTTTGTGATTTTCAGTCTTATGTTGGCTTTTTCAATGTTTCTTTTCCACCGTAGTTGAGATGGATAGCCTTTCTGAACTATCCCAGCAAGGTGCCAACCATGTCAACTTCGGTCAGCAGCCGGTCCCAGGGAACACAGCCGAACAGCCTCCATCCCCTGTTCAGCTTTCTCACGGTAGTCAACCATCAGTTCGGACCCCGCTTCCAAACCTGCACCCTGGACTTGTATCTACTCCCATTAGCCCTCAGCTGGTAAATCAGCAGCTGGTAATGGCCCAGTTGCTGAACCAGCAGTATGCAGTGAACAGACTTCTAGCCCAGCAGTCCTTAAACCAACAGTACTTGAACCACCCTCCTCCTGTTAGTAGATCCATGAACAAGCCGTTGGAGCAGCAGGTCTCAACAAACACAGAGGTGTCTTCCGAAATCTACCAGTGGGTCCGTGACGAACTGAAACGAGCAGGAATCTCACAGGCAGTATTTGCACGTGTGGCTTTTAACCGAACTCAGGTCAGTAGTCTTCTTTCTTATTTTTTTAAAATCTAAGAGTCCCTTCTTTCTCTCTCTATTTAGTTATTGTCACCTTTTAAGTCTCTCTCCTCATTTCTGCCTTGTCACGTAGCTCCTGTGAAGGAACCACACTTCCTTGCAGGACCAGTGTCCACATTGACACAGCAAAGAAATCTTCAGTGATTGGTTTGTGGCAATACCCGCTGTTCTTACAGACACCTTGGTTCCTCTCCAATTGTGACGGTTTATGAATATCTTAATCGTTCCTGGAAAGGACATGAACAGCTCTATGCAGAACCATTCACCCAACAGATTGCCTTTTGTGTTGCAAAGGTATACCCGTACTGACCACGTGCATGCACTGAACAACCTGTCATCTTTTACAGGTGTACCCGAGATGGACTTTTATTCTTGTTTGTGTTTATTTTAATTATTTTCTAGTGAAAGTCTTAATAACATCTTTTCAGGCTTCTGAAAAGATTAAAAAAATAAAAGCTTTATTTTTAGATCATCTACTCTTTTCATGTATTTTTGTAGTTTGTTGCAAAAACAGTAGTTGCTGAGATTGCCGATGTCCACGTCAGAACATATACTTCAGCTCTTCAATGCAGAAAAAACTAGCCCTAGCAAAGCTGATAAGTAACACTAAAATGTGTTATTTTTTACACCTGTTTTAGAAGCTAACCCTGTTATAATTTATTCTGCTCTATGAATTTAACTTAATGCCACGTTGCATGGAATTTAATCAAGCAGAAATTATGGAAGAAGTGTCAGTATATCCAATGCAAATAATAAGATCTCAAAATTTTAGAAGTCTGTTTTAACAGAAAATAAAATAGGAATTTTTTTAAAAGGAAATAGTTAAAAAAGACAGAGGTAATTTTGCTTTGATTCCACATTTTTAAACTTAAGGAACAAATATTTGTCCATTGTAGAATATAGTAAAAAAAAACCAAACATAATTTGGGTTTGTCTTGAAATGTTGATGCTTCTCCCTGTATAGCTTAGAGAATAAAAATTCTGTTTCAAATGCACTGGTACCAGGTTTGAATCAGCATGTCAATTGTAATCGTTCTGAATTATTATTGCCTTAAAAATTTTTACATTCTCCTTTAGCTAAAAGAAAGTAGAGTCATGGTGTGAATACTCTGTAGAGCTCTGTGTGTGTGTGTGTGTGTCTTTCCTCTTAACAGCAGTGGAGGTTTTCAAGATCTGGGTCTTTCATACCAAATTTCATGGGATACATGAACTCATGCAAGGATTACTTACGTAAGTTAAGTTCAGGCAGAGTCAGTTGTTATATTTACAAATAAGTGACATAGAGTTTCGTTTAATACAATGTTTAATATTTTAACTATTGATACTATAAAGTATTATAAATATGAAATAATAATAGTAGCTTCAAGTTACCATGGTTTGCAGCTGCCATCTTACCTGGGCAAAAAGCTGAGCAAATAACTCAGAAAATAAATAGTTTATTAGATATTTACTTCTTTCTCAGACTTGCCTAAAAGCAGCTTGTTTTCTCTCAGCTTCCTCCACCCTCCAAAGTAATTTGTTCATTTTTTGTCAGCTAGTTTTGCATACAGCTTTTGGTGTCTGTCATTTGTGCATGAACAGTATTTGTTACCTGAAATACAAGGACAATTGGTTCTGACTGGACATTGAATTTATATGACACACTATAAGAAGATGCTCTTGAGATGTGATGAATGCAACTGTAGAACCAGATTTCTAGTGCAAATACTGATTCCTGTTTACTATATATTTTTCTTACTACAAATGTTACTAAATATTTGTTTGAAGTTCAATTCTTCCACAGACGTTGTGGTTAACCATCTTGGTACAATGTGTTCAAAGTGACCCAAAACTGGGAGGAAACCCCAAAATGAACGTTGAAAACAAATCCCATGAACAGATATGAAATATATATGTAATATATTTTGGCAATTTTCAACCAAATCTACTTGAAAGAACACAGAGTAGTATCCTTATACCCTACAAATTGTGTTAGCTAGTCAAATGAGTATTTGCAGTTAGCTACATAAGATTTTGCAGTATTTGTTATGTATTGTGGCAAACGTAGGGAACAGAAAGGAAAAATACTAGGAGCCTAGGCAATATTAGCCTCAGTGTTGCCAAGAACTATCTCAGCATACTTTTAATATGAAGCGAAGCCCCATTGAAATCCGGAGGAGTTTGTTGTAGGCGCATTTCACCTTTGCAAAACTGAAAATTGTTAATTGTACCCACAGTAACAGCTAATGTCCAAGTATAAATACAGGTAGAGATACCTGTGATTCTTATAATAAAGCATTTAAATTTGTTTTGCTTGCTGTACTTCGAAATTTATCTCAGGTTATTCAAGGATACATCACATTTAACTAAAATTAGGGCAGCACTTTAATAACTGACGTTATTTAGATGTTATTTTCTAATATTGATGTAATATCTCTTGTCTTTTTTTTTTTTTTTTTTTTTTTTTAGGGAAGTGAAAATGCTTGTTTAAATTCATCTACTGTTTTCTGAGATAAAAAGCTAACTCAGGCTTACCACTGACATTTTTGAAACTGTCATAAGCATATTTGAGCCGTGTCCAGGGACTATATCATGCCATCAGTTTCTGAAAGCAGATCTCACTGAAGTCGGTTAGGAGTTCTGTGCAAAAAACCCCCGATGTCGAGATACAGTCTCAGATGAGGGGAGAGATTTGCTTTCAGTGTAAAAGTTAAGGAAGGAAGTGAACTATAAACTAAGAGTAATTTAGCTTAATGTTTTGGCAATAAAAATGGACTTTGGTGAAACTGTCATAAGCATATTTGAGCCGTGTCCAGGGACTATATCATGCCATCAGTTTCTGAAAGCAGATCTCACTGAAATCGGTTAGGAGTTCTGTGCAAAAAACCCCTGATGTCGATATACAGTCTCAGATGAGGGGAGAGATTTGCTTTCAGTGTAAAAGTTAAGGAAGGAAGTGAACTATAAACTAAGAGTAATTTAGCTTAATGTTTTGGCAATAAAAATGGACTTTGGTTGAATTGGCTGAAGATGTTGGCACCTCTTGTTTTACAGACTTGTGTTCTGCAATATGAATACAGAATTTGATGGGGGTTTTGGGTGGGAAGAGGGGGTTCTACCAGCTTAGTGTGGTAATTCAACACTTGGCCCTAATTTCCAAGAATTTTTGATTTGGGGGAAAAACGTTGACTAGAAATACTTCTGCTTCCTCCCAGCCCAAAGGAAAGAATTTGGTAAAATTACTTCTGAAAACTAGGGTGTCTTTTTTTTTTTAATTGTCATCTATTTATGAGGCAGAAAAAAACCGTCAGCCACACCTCAGAAAATTGAACAGGTGTCCTTAATATCTTCTTGGATAACTTCCCACCTATCCTTAACTTCAGAATGGTAGTTTCAAAAATGTGTAGTTCTCAGGAATGTGCCTTGCAAAGTTTAATTGAAGAGGAGTCCAGAAAGCTATAACTTGAATGAAAATTAGCATCTATCCAGGCACAATAGAACAATTGTTGTAGGGAGCAGAAGTGGTTTTGGAGGATGGAGCACCTCTCCCCATGACAAATTTCACAGTGGTCCTTCTAGGAGGGCTTCAGAGCACAGTGGGGTCTGAAGTGTTATTTGTCCTTCAGCAGTTGCGATTCCAGTTCACTGGCTGCAAAGAAACAAATTGAATCCTGTTAGCACCTCTTTGTAGTGCACCATGGAAAAGTTTGTTGAGTCAGGATTTGTGCTAGCAGATCCGAGTTTCACCTCAAGCATGGCTACCAAATGTGTGTACCACTCTATATTTGCTAGGGTAATTTCAGGAAATTGAGCTGGTTATGTTTCAGTTGCCGTTTGGCCGAATTAATAAACGTAGTATTTTTTCCAGCTGATGTCAGTGCACTGTGCAGGCACCTCCGCTCTCTTGAAAGAGCGAATTCAGTTTTTTCCTGCACTTTGCTAGTCAGAAAATGGCATTTGTCATCAGCTTACTAGCCTGGGTGGCACCGAGCAGCTGCGGGGTGACGGCGCCGATGCACCGGGGCAGCCTCCCAAAGCGCGGTGCCCCGCGCCAGCCTCTGCCGCAGCCTCCCATCAGCAGAGAGGCTCAGCCGGCCCCCCCAGATTTGCAGTTAAATCTGGGAGGTTCTCTACTCTGTTTTGTTCTTCTTGAGAGAGCTGGAGCGGAGCATCGGCATTTGTTCGGCTGAACCACCTTCGGAGCCCTAAACAAATAAACAAACTCCTCTACCGTTTCTGTTGTGTGCGTTTGTAAATGTAAACATGAGTCAGGAAGCGGAAAGCTTGGGTTCCCACAGGCAAGTCTGACATTTGACTTGAAGGCGTAGCTTAACCTGGTGCATGGCAGGGTGACATGTATGTACGAGCAAGGAATTGTGTTAGTCATGGTTGTGGTTGGAACTGTAACTCGGGGCTGCCTGTCTCTGTTTGTGTACACTTTCAACCATAACATTTGCTGCATGAACTCGGGTGCTGCTGTACGGAGGTGACCTCTCGGCTCCATCTTCGCGAAAGGAGGGGGAGTGCTTTTTGCTGCTTTTGCCACGTCTGACTATTGTAATTTTTCTTCTTCCCACCAGTGACAGTTTTTCATCTCAAGGTTTTTGAGTACTTCTCAGTGTTTCTGCCAGATACCTTTTCTCTCCCCCTCCTTTCTACTTCACCCCCATGCTTGTTTAAAATATTAGCTGCCAGGATACATTGCCTTTCGTTCATGTGTAATGCCTTCTCTCATATGTGAAAACTTCTGTGTATTTAGGATTGTGCTCATGCTAATTCTGGGCGATTGCTATTTCGAGGGAGAACGCTTGGATGCAGTAAACGGCTCCGTGTAATTTTAAAACAAAATCTAAGTTTACACAAACCACCTTCTCAGGCACTTTTTTTTTTCTTCCACTTTGTCTTTGGCACACTTTATTTTCCAGTAAAATGAAAAATGAAGATGGATTATTCAAAATTGATAACAGTAATGGACCATCATGTAATGTTTTATTGAATTTGAGTTCTGTAAATTATGTGGTAGAGAGAAATTTGCCTGCTTAAGTATAACAGAAATTGCCACTGTATTCATATAATTCTTCGTAGTGTAATTTAAGAAAAAGCACGCTATCCATATCACTATTGAATAAAAGGTAAAAAGGTGCTATTACACTATCATGACAGCTCTCCTCTTGCTACTAAGCGGCATAGATAAATGTGTCTGCTTATAACTTACTTGGCAGGGATCCAGGCTTGTGGGTGGAGCTTGCGAATAATCTTCCACCTGGACATGGGATGGGAGCACCCTGCAACAGAGAGGGATAGCGTTCAGGGATGTGCTGCATGTTTTGGGGAGGTTTGGGCAAATTGCATTTTTCTTCTGGGAGCTTTGAAGTTTTATCAGGCTGATAAAATCTATTTGAATCAGCGATTACGTTCAAACAGGAGACAAACTGGGGGCCAGACTGGCAGTGTTTTTGTTCACATTGGCAGACACTTTCGTTTATCTCCAGTTTTAAAGAATTCATAATTAGCTTTTGAAAGCCCTGATAATATTTATTGAACATTTTTGTGCAATTAGTAATGAATTAGACTTGTGATGATCTGTAAACTTTCTTTTTTTCAATGGGACCTGGTAACATTTTAAGAAAATACATATCCAGTGAGAAAAGAATACAGGGGAGGAACAGAGAGGAGGACTCTCAGCCTGATGGTGTTTATAAGCTCTGTGCAAAACAGTATTTAGCTTTTATGCAACCTGAGGTACAATATCAGAAGATCACACCAAGACTTGTATCTTGGCAAACCAGTTCAAGCCTGGTAAAACGAACAGTAAATCTCTGCACATCAGCATGGGGCAGGATGTGAGAGCTGATGTTTTCTTTCTAGGATTTTTCCATTTTACATCTTGTCTAACAACCTTTAGCTGAAGTTTGGTGCTCAGAAAATTGAAGCATATGTAGTAGCAATGAAGTAATATTTGAAGCGGGCAAACTGTATTGTAAGACTTTGCCTGCACCTGGTACTGCACCTTTTTTTTCATGTTATTTCCTCACATATTCTGACCTTTAGGTTCAAAGCTCCTAGAAGCAAACGCCTCCTCCTTGCCTTCTCCCCACTCTCTCATCTCCCCTCCTCTCTCCCCATCTGTGTCCTCTGCTCTGCTCCCAGCTCATGCAAAGAGTCATGGCAGTGATCGGGGAAGGAGAGGGGAATGAATACTTAATGGCATTTCTGATCACCAAGAGGTGTCCTGCAGCAATGGTTATACTGACAAACCCAGGAAAAATACAGAAACCAATTTTCTTTGTTTACTTATTTCACTGAGGGGAGAAAAGTTATACAAGAAAAACAGCCTTTTCTGCTTTTTTTAGCTGCCCACTATGTGGCAAAGGCTTGTACGAGCAAATATTTTCTATTATGGCTGAAGTATTTTTCAAGGACATTTCCTGTGGTTGACAGTGGGCTGGCTGTTAGCAAGGAGTCTCCTCTCCTGCCAATGATCAGTCCACTTGAGTTTAGTTTTTCTTTCTTCTTTTTAATCCTGGTGTGGTTGTTTTCAGCACAGTAGCAGTCAGAAATCACATGTGTTTACACCTCCATCATACATCCTGTGCTCTGCAGACAGCTTTGCCTTCAGTGGCACAAAATCATTTTTTGCCTCCCTTGGAGGATGGGTTGTGTAACCCTACCACTGACAAAGAATAGTAACTGTGGGTTTGAGTACTCAGAAGTAGAAAAAAAATGGTAGACAAGAATTTAATTTGCATATTTGCTAATAAGTAAATTCATTATTAGACTAATCACTAAGACAATTTTAAAACTTATACTCCACCCAAATGCCACTTTTGTCTGTAACTCATTTGTTTACCATCTGATAAAGACTGGATACCAGAAAAGAGGAGGGATGAAGAATAGTGGTAAAAAAGTATCCTGCAGGATTTTTTTTTTTTTTTTAAATCCTTGTCCAAATTATTTTTCATGCTTAGTGCTGGAAAGACTGTTTGTGTTTTCCATCCCATTTCCCTCTTATGTGTGGAGGAACAGACAGGGCCATGAGGACCACACTGACCCCAGTGTAGTGGTTAGCACCTCCGTCCTCATCGTCCCTGAGAGATGGAGGGGTGACGGGGCGAATGCAGAGCTCAGAGCTGCACTGGGTGGGCTCTGACCCTGCCTAAGCACAGCTGCCTGAGACCAGTGGCTCTGCCACAGCACCTTTGTTAGGGTGCTTTTGCCCGATAGGGTAGGACCTTTGGGAGAGGTGACAACTCTCTGTGAGCATCAGACTTCCCTACAGAGGTGGCAGGACCTGATGCTTGGGCCGTAGCTTTCTGTAGCACTCCCTTAGGAATGGATAACTTCAGTCAGGATTGCCTCCCCCTCCCACCCCGCCCTTCACCCCTCCATTAGCCCAAATAACAACATTCTTTAGGAAAAGAAACATTAGGTTGTGTTATTCCTTTAAAATTACATCCATGTTCCCGTGTTAGACTAGCGATAAAAGCCTACCATACCAACCCTCTCCTTGTCCCAGCATGGCAACAGCATTTATTCAAAAAAGAAGTTCACACTTGCTTTTGCAAAAGTTAGTTTTCTTATCACCGCCTTGTTACTTCAAGACAGTAGAGCATTTTGTATGCCTGACATATTTAAAAAGAGAATTTGGCAGGGGGGAGATTTCAAGAACCTGTTGACATTAAAGTTCTAGTTGCACTCACAGGTTTATAAATATTTCATCTTTTAGAGTAATTAGGTGTCCCAGACCGCCAGGCCTGCTCCATTGCTGAGAACCGAGATGAAATGATTACGTAGGAAACATGGTGTGGTCTGTACAAGCTGCTGGCGGCATGCTATCGTCTGCAGCCTGCCCATCTCTGGCTCGCTGCTACGGATGCCCTGTATGCTGTTTTCCTCCCACTTCCCCTTGCTCGCTTTTATCTGTCGTTGCTGGACTCTGAAAGTGGTCAAAGGACAACAACGATGGTAAATGGACTTAGGAAATGGGACCTGCACAGCAAGTGCTCAAATAAATAGCCCAGGCGATGGACTGGGTGAGGATTAGGGTTGTCCTAGTGAGGAGAGGGGGACGGTGGGAGGAGGAGAAGGGCAAAGGAGGGGGAGCATCCAACAGTGAGTTTCCTCACTTGTTGTTAAACTCCAATATACAACTCTCAAAATATTGACTTATAAAAAATATGGACCTGAGTCAGTTAAGCAGTACTTTAGGAACGTTGTGAGTTTATCGTCTCAGACTAGTTGTGAAATACCACTTCCTTTCAAAAAGCTGTTTAAGTTGCTAGAAATGTGGAAAGCCGTTTCTTTAGGTTGGCTATGTGTTTTGTCTGGGAAGCCTGAGAACACGCCAGTGTCATGCCTCTGGACTATCTGTATTTCACTTATTCTTAACGTCTTGTGTTTGTCTGGCGACTGTGAAAGATTTCATGGCAAGTTAAGCCAGTAAAAGGAAGGAGACCTATTAGGCAGATTCAGTTTATGTTGTATGGAAAACAGATGCTTAATAAAATTAAGGGTACAATTGAGGCTCTCTTCTCTGCTACCTAAATTGCCATTAATATATTCCTATGTGGAGTGAATAGTGCATTTGCTGCTCTCGTTCTCAGCCCAGTGGAAAGAAGAAAGAGGACTGATAAGCAGTGGCTTTGCAGAGCGCGGTTTTACAGGCACTTACCTTGGCTAACTCTCCAGCGTATTTTTTTTCCTCCTAGGCTAACTCTCCAGCATATTTTTTTTCCTCCCTCCCTACAGGGCTTGCTCTCAGAAATCCTCCGAAAGGAAGAGGATCCCAAGACTGCCTCGCAGTCCTTACTGGTAAACCTTCGGGCTATGCAGAACTTCTTGCAGCTGCCAGAAGCCGAACGAGATCGAATTTACCAGGACGAAAGGGAAAGGAGCTTGAACGCAGCCTCTGCAATGGGGCCCGCGCCTCTCATAAGCACACCACCCAGCCGGCCTCCACAAGTAAACCACTCTCTCTGTCTTCTGCATTTGCTTGTTGTGCTTTCTCACTGTCCTGCTGGGTGATACCTTTCTTAAAAAGAAGAAAGCTTTTACTGTTGCATTTTTTAAATGCTGGTAGAATCATTATTTGCAGTGCATATCACAAATTAAATTTAAGAAATATAATGGATGATAGTAGCAGTTTATTACTACCTATTTTCTCATTTTAAGATAAATTCTATCCATTATGGCCCCTACAGAGTTTTTTGCTTGTTTTATTGAGATACGAGCTTTACTGGGCCTGGAACATGCTGGCTTTTAGCTGTCTTTTTCTCCTATAATTCTCAGGCGTTGTTTTTAATGTTAGAGGTTCAAATAGGGATTTTGAAGGATTTGGACCACTAAACTGAGTGTGAATGAAAGCAGAAGTATGAGTACATCGTATTGCCTTAAAAATTATCTTCCAGAAAATGAACAGGTAAAAATAAAGGGATGGGGGAAAGAAGACTCCATCCCAAAAAGCTGGGCACGCTTTCACTAGGTCGAGCTGCTGACAACTGGGTAACATAACAGGCTTGCTATATCCATTGCTCTGAAAGATTGGGATATGTTCATTAAAGCTTCATTTAGTATTTGTTCAAATGAAACGCCTATTGATTTCTGTAAAATCTAGTGGGAGTGTTGGTTTAACTCTCCCAAAATTATGAAGTTTGATAGAGTGGGATCCAGAAATTCAATGGTGTAATCCTTGTATCTGTCAAGGGAACTCTGATGCTGGTTTTAGGGTATGTGGGAAATATAGGTGTGAGCCATAGGAATGCATAGGTTTTCCACAAAGAAGAAATGTGGTTGTGAATGAAACACTCCAAAAAACAGCATACCTTTTCTGAAATACTCTGCATTGCTGTGGCTCAAGGACACAGCATAGGCTCAAGTACCTATGCAAGGACAAAACAAACTGATCTACAGATATGTGGGAATCGTGCAGTATACACAGTCCAGATTTGCTATACAAAGCAAGACTTTGGGATTGTGGGAATTTTGTGATGGTTGAGTGTATAAACACAGAGCAGTTTTTTACTAACCAGGCTGAGGCATGTGCCTATGACTGTATTCCGTACCCATTCTGAACGCTATAAATTCCTCCAGGTTATTTTTCTAATTTTCCTGCAGCTAATGGATGCTAAGGACCACACTGAAGTAAGGAATAACAAAATGGTAGGAAAAGGGAGGACAGAAGATCACTTTGACCTGTGGCAGTACTTTTCACAAGGAGAGAAAAAATTTTTAGCAGAAAGAACAGACTCTGCTAATGGTCTAGTTTTGTTATCATTAACTGAGTTTAGTCTGTGAAATCCACTACAGATACTCTTCAAGATAAAGGATGAGAATCTATTTACATAGTAATGCTTTAGTGGGAAATAGTTAAATACAGATAACTGTGTTTGAAATAACATTTGAGTTTGTTTTAATATCTGTACCTGCTCCCACAGCCCAGGTAATTCAGAGCAAAGGCTAACCCTCCTTCTTAACTTACGTCTTTCTGCCAAGGTAATGTCTCACTCTGTCTCAAGTGGTCTTGGGCAATTTCACAGCTAAAGAACAGAGTTAATTACAGGACTTTCCAGAAGGATGTCGAGTCAGAGGTAGTCCTTGTATTGGTTTTAATTCACACTTTAAACTGTATAAATCCCTTGCAGCCAGAAAGAAAGTGAGACTTAGGGGTTTTCTTAACTGGCAAAACATACTGGAAGTCCCAATTTAGGGATTGGGGGGGGGAGGATCTATCTGTCTCTACTGTGCTTTTGTTCATAATTACATTTCGTTTTTCTAGTGGGAGTCAGAAGTATAGTTAACCTCATCGCGACAGTTCAAAGTGGAAACAGCATACGGTTTTGTTTTGATCCTTTTCAAAAGGAAAACAGGCTGACAAGGAAACTTTCTATACTAATACTTGAGGTCTACAGAACAAAACAGTTATTTTTCTAGTTGTTATATTGTTCTCTGTCATTCAGCAAAACATATGCACTTTACCTAGTGGATGGACTGAGGATGTAGAAACCTCTGAGTTGGGATTCTGTGCGACCTTTTTACATGTTGCTGGCATTACCCACCTATAAACGCATGTAGCACTTGCCACCTGCTACTAAGTGTGAGCTCTAAGTTTGAAAATTGAAATATCCGTGTTGGTAACATAAGTACAATACTTAATGCTAGAAATAATAATGCAATTCTTCTAGTTGTTGCACTGGCAAGTATAACTTTACAAATCATAGCAGAAATAAATTATAGTCAGGATACTGCAAAATTATTAATGCAAACTACTACTCTGATACTCCCCCAAAATGTCCACAGTTTATTGAATATTTGATACTAAGGAAATAAAACTACTAGCGTCCTTACTACTAAATTTATTATAAGCAATTATTTAAAGTTCACTATACACGAATACAGCATAATATTTTTCTAGCTTAGCTGTGAGCTTCTTGGATAACTATTGAAAGACAAAACAGACCGTTTATCCTGACAACAGAATTTACGCAAGAGCCAACGTATTTAATATTAAATCTTTAGACCAGTGTAACATTTGAAACAATTAAACTATGAAACCATGAAAAATGGGAGCTAATATGCCACACATGAAGGTTTATTTTGCAATTGCAAGTTATCAGTTTCAGAAGGATGTGAAAATAAACATCCTGAAAAGGATCTATTTTGCATTTTTGTGTTGCCAACTGGTGGCCAGACAGTAGAGCAGACTTAACCATTTAGCAGCTGAGCTTGTTCTGTGTGAATTTTGCATACTGTTGCATGCAAAAACAGAAAGTGTGACCTTGGAGGTCTGATAGGCTAGTAGGAACTCACCAAGCATAAACCCTGGTGCGTGAGTTAGAAGAAACTGTGTTGAATTTATCTCATTTTTACAGCATTCTTACTAGTTGCTACTTGAGCTAATGTATCTGGATTGTTTCCAATTCTTTTTTGAAAGCCTTTAAGAAAGTCTTTGTCCCCCTTACTTCTCCCTTTTTCTCTGACTTAAACAAAACCCCAAAATCTTACTTTTTTTTTTTTTTTAATTGAAATCATTAGCCTCTAATGCATGAGCTTTTGGGATACATATATAGCCCTCTAAGCTGGTCAAGTTGTAAAAGTCTGCTGCTATCTTCCATACTGGTGGACTGAGTGCGAGGAGATGGCATACACAAGAATTTTTCCCTTGGATGTTGTTCGTCTTGCCACCTCCTGGGGCAGAAGCCTGTCTGTCAGGCTCTTTCCTGGGGCAGTGGAATTTATAAATATTAGCATCTCCATCAGGTAGGTACTGCATGGAGACATAGTTTAACCTCTCCAACCTAGAAGGAAGGAAAAAAGGTCCTTTCTTGTTCTATTTCTTTTATTAATTTTTTTTTTCCCCCTCTTCAACACCTTCATCTTGCAGATCACCCCACAGAGGTCCTTTCTGGGTATCCCTAAGTCAAGTTCAGAGGATAAGTCTATTATACGTTGTGTGGGAACAAGAGGATGTGGGGATACTTCAGAGGACACTGAGTGTGGAGCTATGTTCAGAGTGGATGGAGTTCCCCAGGGAGGTGCTAGGGATGGCCTCTCCCTCTCATTGGGGCAGTTCGGGGGTTGGGGGGAAGAGGACTCCCTCCTCCTTAGTACAGCTTGGGGGGAGGGTGGAGACAGGTGACCAAGTCATAGATTTTCTTTTCCGAAATATTTTGGTTAAAGCTTGTTAGCCATCCTACAGTTATGAATGCTTCCTTCTCAGGACAAGTTATCTCCATTTCAGCAGAACTGAGGAAGAATACCTTCTTACCACCCATATTGCCCAAAGAAAATTTGTGGTAACTCTTGGGGCCCATCATCATCCTGTGTAAAAACAGAGTACGTGTAACGTCGAGAGCAGAATATAATTTTAACAAAGCAATGTTTTAAGAAGTATCCACAAATCTTGCATGAGTCATGGTTCTGGGTACTCAATTGACAAAAACGTTCATTTTCATAAATATAATCCTGGCCTCCCTCTGACTGCAGATAAGATACAGTTCCTTCATGCTAAAGCAATTTCAGCTTGGGTCCCAGAGATAGGATGTCACTCTTGAAAGACTGGTCTTGAGGAGGACACTGCTTTGCTGGTGTTTGAGGACCAGTCAACCTCAGTTGCAAGGAGCTCTCGATAACACCAGCTCCCATGAAACTTGACGGTGGAGCCCTAGAGTTCACACACATGCACATGTCATACGTCACCCCCAGCAAAATTTTTATTTTTAAGTCTGCAAAATTTGAGATTTAGGTTGATAGTCTTTGTGCCAAGTTGCATTTTAATGAAAGTAAAAATGAACAAAATAATAAATGCAACCCTCTCGCCCCCCTGCAAAAACCACCATGGACGAGAGTTAATGGAAACCCTGACACTTAACTATAACTGCACTTCCAGGCGCCACTGTAATAATGGAGTAGTAAACCTTGTCCTGATAAAAGCTGTTCTGAAAGCAACAGCATTTATTGTACCTCCTGTGCTATTTGCAGAGCAGAACTGAAAAGTAGTTTGTTTTGCCTGGAATGAACTACTTTATGAATTTTAATGTACGATGTAATATTAAAAGCTAAACCAGGATTAAAGAAGATTTTTGTTCCCAAGCTAAAACAGTACTTATGAGAATGTGTTATAAAAGATTTTTTTGTTTCAGTTTCGATGGGGAAGAAATAAGCTTCCATGTTTGTGAAAACCTTTTCAGATTGGTTATTCCTTCTGTAACAACCTGTCCTTTGTTTAGGAAAATTGAATTAACCCAGAACTTCTTGCTACTGTAACCAGTCTTATTTGATGAGAAGATATATATCTGGGCAGGCCAGGAAGGGATGGATGTGTTACGGGTTTTTTTTTCAAGTCTTTCTAAATGACTACATTGATTGGTGATAGGAGGATGGCCAAACGAGTTTCTGATTCTCAGTGTGTTGTGTTTGTAAAATAATGCTCCCCTGTTCAGTTAGTGTTTGCAAAATCTGGTTACTGTCAAAAAAAACTTTAGCTGATCTGTGGTTTCTTTCCTAAACAGAAAATGTGGCTGTAAGTGTGGGTGGGGTGAGAGGTTGTGCTTAAGTGTGGATGAGATGAGAGATTATGTTTTGTTTTGTTTTTCTCTCCAAAATGAATACTTTTTCCACCTCCTCTCCCAAGTCCTGAAGTTGCACTGTTGGGGGCTTTTTTGTTTTCTGTTGGGTTTTTTTGAGGAGGAGGGTGTTTTTTCAACCCAGCTTCAAACAGCTTCTGTCTTGAACTCAATTCTAAATTCAACACAACAGCCTAGATGCTTGCTATGTATAAATTATGAAACAGTTTTATGTATGGATATTCTCCAAGAGGTTAATTAGCATTATTGCATGGAATTCATCAGACCAGAGCAGACCAATGGTCCATCTAGTCCAGCCACAGTCTATACCTGATCTTTGAAGAGAAATTGTTAAGAGGCGGGGGAAGAATTTTTATACTTGGCCAATGATGTAAATTGGAGAGGGAGAGGATATGACTGTGAACAACATCTTGATAATCCCCAAACCCATCATTTTATGACTTTAAGACTTTCATTCTCCTGAAGCTCTTTGGGCTGATATGGCATTTTGATGCAGATATTAGTGTTTTCTGTTGTTCACTTCCTAATTCAACATCAACAGAAGGCAATAGGGCAATAGGAGTCATCTCTTTTTTTTTTTTTTTCAACTTCAGTGACATATTAGATGCTGTTGAGTTTGTTGTACCTGTGTAAAGATAGATGTGATTTGCCACCAGGATGAGGATTTTTCAGTAATTCCACTGGGTTAAGTGCATATCCATATTAAATTGGGCATTGAAAAGTGTGGACCAAGATACACAATTTAAATTAGGTCTCCAACGTGGTGTGTGAGTCTTGGTTTTTGATGATCTGGGTGTTCACAGCTCGGTTAAGTGGTGTATGAAGTACTGCTACAACATGAAGCTATCTTTTGAAGCTGAAAAAAGCTTCAAAAAAGAGGCATTTCAGTCAAGATCACAAGAGCAAAGTGTTTCCTTCCCAAAAGGTGCCATGGACTTGTGTATCCTAGCTGAATACCTTCATCTTCTCGTCTTCCCTTCAGGACCCTCAAAGATTAGTTACAAGTTAGAAATATTTCTTTGGGAAGGACTGAAATAACTTTGCCAAAATTTAAACCCAAGGTCCAAGAAGGTGTGTTGAGAAAGCCATCACTTTTTCATTTTCTTGCGGCCCCATGTTGATTTGCCCATTGTGAGGCATGCGTTTTCCCGCTCTGCAATGGGAAGAAGGGAGGTTCATGGTGCTGCTCCTCACGCTGCCCGCTGCCAGATGCCTCAAATATTTTTGAGCAGCCATGGGCACAGGCTTGGCCATCCTCTATTGCGGTGTCACCTGTAAAATGCCACACTGCAGAAAAGGAAATGCTTCACTCTCCAGGTCACAGCTATGAAGTACCAGTTGTTTTCAGATGAAAGCAAATCATGTGATAAACTGTATGCCACATTCTGGGATTTTTCGTCGTTTCCCTTTTCATTTAGGACTCCTGTTTTCAGACACCAGGAAGTGTTAATGCCTGCCAGAAGGAGGCAGGTGGAAATGTGTGTGGATGCCTTGTTCTTGCTGGGCTTTCGCCCCTTGCAGCTAATGGGCATGTGTTAGCACAGCTCCTGAAAAGCCTGATAGACAAATCAGGCTCAGCAAAAGTGGCATGCACTCCCAGTTTCTGGGCTAGATTATTTTATCTTAAAAGCACTATGGAGGATAGTTAACACAAATTGAGCGTGACATTTCTAGGAAAAAATGGGCTGATGATTTGCCTAAGTACGTCTCTCACCCAAACCCTTTGACTCTCGTATCATGAGACCTGTGACATATGAAAGCTCATAGAGAGTGAGATTAGAAGGTGAATTATCATGTTGTCATGATTTCCTTTTGAACCTCAAGGGAGTTTAGAGCACAGGAAGATGCAGAGTTGCACTGGATTAAACTGATAGTGAAAGTGTGGTTTTAGACACATACTTAAGAGTATGCTGAATCACCCTCTGGAAGTGCCAAGCTCTGTCCATTAGATTTAGAGATAGCCTGAATGACTAACATAGACTAGACGTGTAACTTCTGAATGGCTAAAGTAATTCAGCTCTCAACAACCTCACTATGAACCAGTAGGTTTGAATCGAAATCTAAAGGTTTGATTTGCATCATCACCTTGTGGGTTCTTGGCAGAAATCCAGTCTGTCTTTTCCTCTGGTCCACTTTAGGATTAGTCGTCCATTAGGTCCACTAATCTTGGGCAAGCATTGCAAGAGTAGCTGCTAAAGAAAGACGTTATCCTTAACTATTGAGAATATTGTAGGATAAGCTGAGTACCTGCTGATTTTTTTGTACCTCTCAACTGATATTGCAGAAACTGCACTGTAACCTTGGTGGGATGATTCTTGGTGTTGAAACATCACTTCCAACATTTCCAGAGGATGAAGGAAAGGATAGTCTTCTGCACATCATGTCACTACTGATGTATTTTTTGTTGTTTTCCTTAATGCTGCAGATGCAGCGTAGAGGTGGTAGTGTAATCATTTTGTCTTGTTTTCCTGTTATTTTTTTTTTTAACCTGGACTGCAAGAAGAATAAATATTTGATGTATGTAAGTGAAATACAACTAGAATTAATCGTTTTAAGAAAGCCCTATCTTGATTTCATGAATGAGTGGTTAAAATATGCACTATTCTAAATTATTGCTTTCTTAAAAACAGCTTAAGAATTAAACTGATAATATAATATTTTTAAAAGTTAAATCTAAAGCCACGACTTTTCTACATTATCATGCATTTGAGTGTACTGGACATAAGGCATGAATTAAGTTATATCTGTCAGGTTTCTATTTCATTAGAGATTCTTTTATATGCTGCACTTATAATTTTCACTTAATTTGCGTGGAGGAAAGAAATCATGTAAGGATTCACAAGTCTCTACAAGACTGTTTGACAGGTTTCTACCTAATTTGTTTTATGACATTGAAATTCACAGTGGTCAGTTAATGATAACTCATATTTCAGATGCACTCACTTGTTACAGTATGCTGAATTTTCTTGTTCCCCAGTTGCCCGAACCACGGATAACTTATAATGTTAAGTCTCTGAAAAGCTGAAAGAATATCAAAGCAAGATTGAATAAAAGGAATAAAATGGAAAGGGGAACTACTTGGGGAGGGAAAGAGAGGAAAATAACTTTTTCATAATGAAAAATGTCTCATAAAATATATTTTCTAGGTCAAAACTGCTACTATTGCTACAGAGAGGAATGGAAAAACAGAAAATAATTCCATGAACATTAATGCTTCCATTTACGATGAGATTCAGCAGGAAATGAAGAGAGCTAAGGTGTCTCAAGCACTGTTTGCAAAAGTTGCGGCAACCAAAAGCCAGGTAAAGTTCCCAGGGCGCAACGGCCTCCCTGTCCTGTGTGATTATTCCCCCTCCCCAGTTTTGATCTGTTTCTGTGTGAGTTACAACGAGCAGCCAGCCTGGTACCACAGCTCGGAGCTCCTTGCTGAGTCCAAAGGTAACCTCTCGTTACCCTTGACCAGGCAGGATTGAGAAGTGGCTTCCCGAGACGCATCCCTCCCTCTTCCTTGCCAGTGAGATGCTTTCGTTGTGCGCCCGTGGGTCTTGCGCAGCTCAGAAAGCATCAGGTTCATCAGTGCTTAGCTGGTGTGGACGTGGCAAAAACTGTGAGCGAGCTCTATGTATTGCTGCCGAATTCATCTCGAGGCTTTGGTGTTTTGCAATTGCATGTGCTGTAACGAGGAACTCTGGGGTTCTGGTTTTTGCAAAAAAAATTAGTCAGACCCACTGGTGAGTCTGTGCACAGGAGGTGGGGCAGCATTGTCCAAGTCAAAAACAAAAATTAACCCCAACAAATTATGGTTATACAAGTTACATCTGAGAAAACATGTATGATCTTTGTGGAATACGATGGCTGCTTGGTTACCTGCGTGTGTGCATACATATATATGGCATATTCAGTTTTAAACTTTGTTGTGTGGTTTCCTATTCTGTTTTCTTCAACTGAAGAATTTCTGTCAAGTTTAGTGGCAGGAGAGGGAAATCAGCAAGCACTTGTTGGGTGTGATTATCGTAAGTGACATGTCTTCTGAGAAAGATCACCGGAGTATGCAAAAAGCATTGATTTAAGTGAGAATGTACTCAAGAAGCAAGTAAAGGAAAAACATACAGAAAGATGGGAAAGACTAGAACCACGGTTATACCAACGCTTGAAAGAAATGGTAAAGGCACCAATGCTTGCAATGTTGAATTTTCGCATTAGATTAAAAGTTAAATCCACTTAGTTACTATTCCTTTACTTTTCTAAAATTGCTTCATAGAAAAATACAGCATCTTCCAGGGAAAGCTGGTAATGATCAGTTAGACCAATGTTTCTTGGGCCGTCAGCATTTTAGTGCTGGTTTTAACAGTCTTTAACTTTTGACTTCTGCGTTGTTCACATTTTGGAGTTTACTCCGTTTCATTGTACAGAAAGGATGTTGTCTCTTAAGTTATATGCTGTAAGGAGCATTTAAAGGGATATTTTGGAAATGTTATATCAAAATGATTAAACTCAAGCTGTGGACTGTAAAAATTATAGCTTTATAGGCCACATGCCTGCCTACCCTTCAATCACTGTCAAAGTGATAATTTCTACAATAATATGTTTCTTTTATTGTTGGATTCTAAACACCAAGTGCTGTTTAAACATTAAACTGAATTGTTTATGTTAGTGCCGTACTCAGTGTGTCATACATCAGGCCACTATAATCTCCCGTGGAATGTAAAAATTCTGTCATGAATCATGGCTTGTATATCGGAAATTACTGTAATTTTGATTGGAAATTACAGGGCTCTTGAAATGTTTCTAATTATGATAGAATGTTACAGCAGCTTCCAACCTGTGTGCTCCTCAGATGTCTTTATTTACATGTCAAGACTCAGGGTTAGAGAACTGTCCGTTTTCTAAACCTTCCTCTTTCCATTGCAGTTCTCTGCAAAACTAAGGTATGAAGCCAATCTATCGGTCCACATAATTTTGATCTGATCTGATTTGTGTGATAGTGCATTTATTTAAGTGTGTAGCCTTAAAATTTCTAGGTGGGACAGCTCTTCCCATGCTGACTTTAAAAGGGACAGGTAATCAAAGTGAAGCACAAAAGCTTCCAGAGGATGCGGTGCAGTTTTTTTAGAGTATCGGTAAAAAATTCAGATTTTTGTACAAACTTTGCTACCAAGTATAGAAAACAAACATCACCAAACACATAGTTATTTTCCCTTTTGTTATGGAGATTATGCCTGTATTCTCAGAAGTTATTTTTCTCCCACATTTAAGCAATGTAATATTAATTTATGTATTAAGCAAGCTTTCAGGTCTGTAGTTAGCCAAAGCACCATTTGCTGTAGAAATCGACTTCACAGAAGTAACCTCTTAGGTAAACTGAATGTGTTGGGTCTTCTCTAACCAGTTGACTACTAGTCAGCCAATCAATAAGTTTTAAATATGTAGCAAAGCCACGTATATTAGAGGAGATATCTGTCTTGTAAAAATTCTGCATTGGAGCTTGTCAGCGGTACAGACAATTATTTCTTGGGGCAAAGAAGTCTCTCTCGCACAAAAAAAAGGCTTGTTCAGACATATTCTTTGAGAGAACCTCTCTTGAGAGAGGTCCGTTGTTTTTTTTTCATTTGGGGATATTGGTTTCCCACTCAGAACTGGAAATCCTGGGATAATCACTTCCAGTTATACGGAAAAGTCTGGAGGACACATATTAGAAAATGATGCATTGGTTAACAGTTTTGTTTTTAAACATCACAAAAATTGAACGTTGCTGTTGTTGTCTTATTTTGGATATAAAATCTTGATTAACTGCTGAGTGTAGTCTGGACTTAGGGTACAAACCAGTATGTGACCTAAAGCAGCTCTGCCAGTGGACAAAGGTAGATGTTTGCTGGAGGGCCTTTCTATTTTTTTTTTTTTTTTTTTTAAGGAACTGATTTGGGTCAACATTAGATCGGGTGTCGAAGCAGCCAGCATCTGCAAGGTGGCTGGGCTTGCCTGAGCCAGGAGACTGCAGATAATGTTCTGCTGACTAGAGCACTTTGTACAGAAGAGCTATTAAATGATGCGCTACAGAAGTTTCTATTTAGGTAGCACCGAGGTAAAAACCGAGCATCTTCCCTTGCGCTGTGTTAGTGCCTTTGGCAAGAGTTACCTGATTGATGGAGGGCCGCATATGGACCTGATGCTCAACAAACCAGCTGGCTGCAGGGGCTCGGTGCAGCAGCGGTCATAGCGCAGGGCAAGGAAGAGGTGACGGGAGCAGGAAGAGATTGCAGTGATATTAGTGAGACCATGCTCTGGCTTAGGTGAGCGATGATTTGCGTACTTGTAGTTTCACGGTGCACTTTGCTGGCGGCTTGTTGGCTTTCCCAAAGAAAAGGGACTATTTGGCACGTGGGTTTGAACGAGTTTGGGGGCTTAGCTGGAAGATTCCTTCAAACGTTGAATTCTTTTCCCATATAGGAATGTATGCATCCTGTATATTTTTAAAATGTCTGTGTTTTTAAGGATCGATATATTATCTGCAGAATAAATTGAAATTCTGTTAAATTCAAAATCTATACTTTAAAGGTTACTGTGGTTATACTGAGGAGCTGAGGAAGATATTATAATTCAAATTGCTTGAATACATCGTATCTTTGGGGAGTTTTAGAATTGCAATTGGCAAAACACCTAAAGTCAGTATTTAAAATCTTAGATTTTTATTGCAAGTTGTCTGCCCAATAGGTCTATGTATTTTTTTGGTAGGTTATGTTGAAAAGAGAGCTTTAGAAAAATACATGCAAATGGAAGACAGAAAGGTTTACCAAGTGCTTTGTGTCTGCTCCCAGGCTGTTGTTTTTTAGTGGTAGAACGGCAATACTAACAATATTGTTTACTAAAATTTAATCAACACACCTGAATAAGTCAAAATGAAAAGAATCCACGCATATATAAATTTGTGTGTTATGCGTTACTTTTACAATTTAATCATATTGGGTTTTTATTAAATTTATAACCTGACAGTCTGATTCGAGTAATTACGAAAGCACATTCTTAATTTCGTTATTTCAAACAAAAAAAAAGTTGATTTGTGTAATGATCATTAAGGCATCATGGTTCAGTAACTGTGCATTGGTTACAATGTTTTCATGTGGGAGCCAGGGATGAGTTTTTTTCTTGATGGTGACAGATGCTGAAATCTAATTTTATTCCATAAAAACAAACAAACAAAAAACCCCCAAACCTAAGAGCCCTGAGAGATAAGGCAAGTAGAGACTTGTAGTGCTCCTGTATGTTTGCTGTATTTTGAGAAGCTACATTTACGTTAATAGCTTATCCTGAAAGCCTGCGGCCTGCACGTGCTAGTATGAAGTAGGGAAGAAAGCAAAATTTTGCTGAAAATCAGCTTATGTTGCTAAAGCTTTCTTAAATTTAGGAAATTACAGTTTGCAAAAACTGCAGTAATATCAACTTCCGTACCTCTGAGACTCCGATGTGCTACAGTGTAAGGCTGTTAGCCTGCATTATTATACCTGAATAAGTTTACTTTATAGTAGAATAAATAGGTAAACCCGATACTTTTCTGCAGCGTCAATCCTGCCGATTGCTGTGCATGGCCAGGTAGGTGCCGAATGCCCTCCTTTCTCACCGAATCAAAATGCCTGTATGTTGAAGGCGAGACACTTGGCTCTCACAGAATCATGCTCCGATTTTAATTTTAGCATAAAACTAATGGAGTGCTACCCATACCTCCAGAAACCTCATCTAATTACGGAGAGTTTTGACCCGTTACTTCTGAGCTGTTGCACCATGTTGCCCAATTTCCTGTCCTTCTGTCCCCGTCTTTCACTTTGGTTAGGCAGTTAGCCCCTTGGAAATGAGTAGTTTTGCATGCAAAGCATGGAGGTAAAATCAGTGGTTCAGACCATTGCTAGAGACTCCATCCCAAGCCATCAGGCAAGTATTTTGTGCCGTGGTATTTTACTAGAGGTGTTTGACTTTTTGCCTTAGTATGCACCTGGAGCGTCCTCCGACAGGCTGCGTGGGGAGGCGCACCGGGTAGGCATTAGGCAGAGCATCTAACACTCGTGAGTAGATGGGAAGGAGTTAAATGGGAAGGGAATGCTAAATGTTGGCACTAAAATTGCTTTTGGCATGCAAATACCATGCTTTTCCTGACATAAATATTTTCAGAATAGGCCATTAGAGTTCAGGTATATAAACCCCTGCTTTTACTGGAAATTTTAATGTTGTAGTAAACCCAGAGATTTATAGTGAAAAATTGATGTGTGTTATCTCACTTTTATCTTTTTAACCAGCAGTTTTATAAATGCTA